GGCCCACACACGTATGCCAAATGCATTCGCTATTTCTTTGAGGTCTTCAAACTTTTCCACAAAGGCTTCTCAGTTTGGTATGAAATGTACCAACTTGGTAAAGAAGGCCAAAAAAGAAAATTGTATAATGTTGATTTGCATCAGGTCCACATCATACAATACGTTCGAATTTGAAATTGGAATATAAGTTAAACAAAGTTGCCATTTTGGAGCAAACCAGCTTAAATTGGAACAAAACCTATTGTACCAGATTGTCATTTAAACTGTTATTAAATGTTAATAACATTTTAATTTTGAACCCATTGAAGTAATTCCAAACGTCATTTTAAATGCAAGCAAATATTGTATTTATATCTTAGCAAGCGCATGAACAAGCAAGAAAACCTAAAAAGTCTTCAGGAATAACTTTTTAATTTTGTTTAGCGGCTTTAAATCTCAACGGTTAACAAAGCAAGTTACTTTTTGTATACAATTCTTGTATATATGCCTTTATGCAATATTGTTTATTTTGCTGTATAGTAACAGGTACTACCACATTACTCCGCCACCACTGGCACATAGGTCAGGATAATGCTGGAGTGCGGAGCCACCCGGAGTTCCTTAAGATTCACCCTTCCAGCATGAGCAACCTTTCCGGAATTCTCCATGTTGTTGTTGTACTGCTCGCTGAAATAGGACACGGTCATCTTGTCCGGCAGATTATTCGGGATAGTAAAGTTGCTCGCCTGGGGCAATTCGGTGGGATTGAAGATGACGAAGTAGCCCGGGTTTCCAGACTTGATTCTGTGGAAAAACACAAGATATGGGTTAGATCAAATTAAAAAGATGTGTAAAGTCTTTTAAAATTCTACTACATAATAAAAAAGCTATTAGTTTAACAAAACGAATAGTAAGAATACATAAGTTACTGTTTCACTTAACAATATAAAAAAATATATTTAAAAATAGAATTGTTATAAGAATATCAAAAATTAAAATACTACTTTATAAACTACAGTAAATACTTGGTGTAAGTTTTTACCTCAGCCTTCAAGTGACAAGCATAATGAAGTATACAAAAGTTAGTAACAATTACAATCGAGACAGTCAATGACATGAATTACCTGGAGAAGGCGACCAGTGGATCGGCCTGGTAGAGAGTGAGTTCTCCGTGCATGAAGGAAGCAGTCTTGCGCAGAGAGGTGATCTGCCTGTAGGTCTCTTCGGTGACGTTCTGATATTCCACAGCATCCACAGCCACTACAGGAACGCCGGGCAGCAGGGATAGGAACATGGCCAGAGCGGATGGATCCTGCGGGGTGTCGACATAGACGTCCGCGAAGTTCCACTGCAGCCAGGAGCCCTCGTCCGCTTGCAAGAGTGTGTTGTTCAGATGCTTATTCAGCGAGTTGTCTGGCTTTGATTTGCTGAGTGCCTTTACAAAGTCTCCGTACATGGGCAGATCGATGCCATATGCTTTTGGAGCTTTGCTCAACTTGTAGACCTGTTGTTGGATGATATCCTCGGCAACCGAGAAGAAAGCCTCGTCGGAGGCATTCTTGACGATGCTCAGGTAATCATAGAGCACATCGCCCAGGCCGGATTGGAAAGTAGTTTGCGTGTGGTCAAAGAAGCCATAGTCATTGGGTCCCAGGCTGAAGGCCTTCGGCGATGCCGAGATCAACTCATCCTCTAGGCCATCGGATAGCACAAAGAACTTTGTATTTTTCAGGCGGAAACCTCGAACGCCCAATGTCACCAGATGCTTTAAGACGTCTCCGAACTCGTTCCTAACAATGGTACTGTTCATCTTGAGGTCGTAGTACCCGTCTTCGAACTGGGAGAGCACATAGCTGTCTCCCACTTTTTCCCAAGCGCTGCGATTGCCGCCCACCTTGAGCCAGTTGTTGGGTAGACTGGTACTGCTGCTCACCCAGGCAAAGGCGGATCGCTTCTCCGGGTTCGCAATGGCATCCTGCACCAGCTGCGAGTCCTTTGCCGCGTAGTTGGGCGTCAGGTCAAGTATAACCCTGGTATCGCTGCCCTGGTACAGAGCCACCAAATGCTTGATCTTCTCCTCCACCTCCGGCTTCTTCACGTCGTAGGTCAGAGCAGCTGGCAGCTCATAAATGGCGCCAGCGGAAACCAGCTTCTTGGCGACCTGAACATCCTCCGGTTTACAGGTATCAACGCTGGCGAACTTGGCATGTGGTCCACGCTTGAACCATGGAAGCGGCTGCGGGGCGGCGCACTTGGGCGCTCCGATGATGATCAGGATGGCACCCACCAGCATGCCCACCCAAATAGCCCAGAAGCACACGAAGAAGATCCAGCGGAGACGCACCCAGAAAGGATCGTTGGCATACTTCATGAGCTCCTCCTTGCTCATACCAGTAAAGGCCTGTGATGAGGAAATATGTATTTAGATAAGCACAATTTTATTTAAGTCTACGTTCATTAACTATTCCCATATAAAAGTATTATTTTATATAATAAAAAGCCTCAGGGTAAAAGGGGGAAATACATTATAGATTGCAGTAGAGTATTTATGAGTAATTGTTATTTGATAATTAGTTCAAAACAATAGCACTAGGCAAAAAAATTAAAATAATTACGAATACTATACAAACATTAATACATTTCTTTGTGCATATGTCCATCTGAATATTTATTGAATGACAAGCCAAGGTCAAAACTATTTCAATTTTTCTGTCATTTTAAATGGACAAGCAATGATGGCTACATATGTATGTATATCTGCGCTGCAAGTTAATCATACCCTTGCAAAGGCTATAATGATTTCAGCATAGTCAGCACCTAGTTTCCTTTCTTCTTTTCCAATTAATTTTAATGTATGTATTTAGGTGTGTTAATACTCACAGGCTTGCCTCCGTTGACGGTTCCGATGTCGATCTTGGCATCCCCGTTCTGGTGATCGCCCTTGATGAACTTCACCTCGTCGCGACGCTCGGCCAGCTTGTCCTCCACTCCGTTGGAGCCCAGCATCTGCTCGTCGGCGCCATCGGTGTGGGCCACCTTCTCATCCTGCACCATGTCGACTGAAAAGTAAACGATCCAACAATGGTTAATTGGCTCTAATCAGCTTCAATTAAGCCTAAGAACGTAAATCACACTGACTTTCTCCGGGGAACTGAGCAGGCTTTGTAAGGTTAAGTCAGAATCAGAAGCCACATTTCTCGTGATTCACAAGAGAAGGGGAGCTTTCCGTATGGGATTTTCTCGGGATTGAATTGCTGACGTCACGGCAAGCGAGCCACGCTTCGAGTTTGCGCTTCATTAGGAAATGGACCTGTGGCTTGGGTGGAAATCGATATCGTTTTCCGTATACTCTTCCTATCTCCCGTACTGATAAGCCATAGTCACACACACACACACGCCCACCACGGCCCCGACACTCAGAAAAAAGGCAGATATATGCTTTTAAATATAGATACCTAGCTCAATTTTCATGAGTGCCTCCAGTGAAAATTCGGAGCATTGTTACGTCAGCCACCCATTTTACCCAGATGTAGACACAATTTCTTTGTTTAATTACCTTTTGCTGGGTTCGAACTGGCTCCCACAAATGTATCTTCGGCTATAGTTTTGTAGACCTCCGTGGAATCGGATGGACCTTCAGCAGCTGCGTTGATTGTACTATCAGACACGCCTAAAATAGACCACAGCGAAAATTAGCGAATTAAACGCGGTGAGGAATTCTGAACAAATGCCTCGTTTGTGTGGAATGTAAAATATTTTATGGGAACGAATACGGTCATACTAGGAATAAATCTTCCCATCGGTCATACTTCAATCAATTTTTTACAAAATCCTCGGTGATTTTCAGTGCGTTTTACGCTGTCTTACAGAAGCTCAATGCTACAAAACCGAGTGGCGCGAAATTTGAATTGTTTGCTTAGATTAAACTCACCAGGCGCTGGAAGCGTGACGGAGCTCTGCAATATTATTATTACTAAGAATGCTAAGATATTTTAGTTTACTGCACTTACTTTGCTGGCGCCCCTTCCAAAAATGTTCAAGCGCGAAAATAGCTTCATGGCAATGGTATTTTCCTGAGTTGGTAAAGAATTTATTTATTTAAATGAAAGCAAGAGAAAACGAAGTAGTCGAGTTGCCCGACTATCAGCTACCCGTTACTCAGCTAGTGGAACGACTGCTTTCAAAATTTTTTGATAGATAGAAATTAGGAAAAACAATAGAAAAAAAAATATGAGAGTGGCGGGTATAACTACTGTGCTTCAAACAGGCTTGCCACAAAACAATTTGTATTGAAGAAAGTGGCTTTCAGATGAAGTAAATTCTTCAAGTAACAATGTAATTTGATAGGTATTATTTTCATTTACAGTTCACAATTATATATTAATCATTTATACCGCCGAATGCTCAATAAAAATAAAAAATATGTGTAACCACCCTCAGCTTTTTTAAAAGGAACTATTAACACAACATGCAATATTTGACACTGGCTTGTAATTTTCACTGTGACCTGTCCGATAAGAGGTCTGATTCGCAACTGAAGTTGCAGTTTCGCGCTGGCAGTGCATCGCCCCCAGAGGCACAACCCAATCCGAACCGCTCCTCGAGTTTGATTTAATAATACCTGCGAAGAAACGCGTTCCGTGTGCGTAAGTACGATTTATGGCTCGCGGCGATTGAGATTGAGCCGGACCCAAAAACTACCTGTCTGCGTGGCAGCTTACCTGAGCTCTCTCGCTTGCCCAAAAGCGAAGCTGGTGGACCTGGTTTTGTGGCCAGCCACCAGCGCAGAGCAAACTGCACTCGTCGGCGCATTCCAGGCCAAAATATGCTGAGTTGCCGGGTGTTTGGAGAGTCAGAGTCTGCCGACTCCACAAGGTTGGAGAATAGAACTTAAATTAGTATAGCTGGGTCACACCAAAATTGACCAATTTCTGCATTACCCTGCACATTATCTTTGTCCGATTAAGAGACATGCAAGTGTCATTAGCCTATTAAGTGGGAGCTATATATATGGCAGCCGGGTGCGTAAGCCCCAACCAAGTTGACAAAATGGGTTTTCACATGGGACGACAGCTGCTACTCTCTGGTTTCTTGCTGGTGATGCTCCAGGTCTTGTCCCAAACGCAGGCCAGGCCACAGGTGATTAACGAGTATAATCAGTTCGACCATGAATAATCCAACCCCCACCAGGATGTGATCACGATTGCCGGCGACGAGACGGAGGTGGTGATCAAGCAGGAGGGCGACGGCGACGGCGACGACGATGACTCCTCCTCCGAGGAAACAGTCGAGGACTCGGAGGAAAGCAGGCGCAGACGTCGCGAGGTGAATACGGACAACACGCCATCGGCTCGAGGGGTCATTCCAGGTTTGCCAGATCCGGCCACCGTAATCAAGATCGCTGAGCTTTTTCAATCCGTAGGCGAGCAAGTAGTCCCCATCCTCGTGGAGGCCATTCTTCCCAGCGTGGATGAAACGGGCGATCGCTTCGCAAGATCCCTGCAATTTCTGAAAAACTTGACACCTGGCTCTGAGTTGTTTGTCACCGAGAAGAACGAATAGCCCAGCCAACATAAAAGGGACAATTGCAAGGAACTGTAACGGAATTCGTTTGATTTTTGTATCTGCATAGTGAACAAGTTATAGTTAAACAAGTAAATAATATTTGGTTTCTTGATTTCATAAAAATATCATTGTTGAAAAATCGGACTTACAAATAGTAATAGTTTCACTACATAAAGCATATTGACATATAAGAGGTATTTGTACTTTCGCTAATTATTTTATTTCGGTTGCTTTAATATATAATATTACAAATTGCTTGCAAAGTTGAGAGACCCGTTTATTGCCACATATAATTCACGCAGTTCAGATACGGGTTCAACCTTTTGATTCCACTATTTCATTTTGCGCACTGGTTAAAATATAATAGCTTTGGAATCCAGGCCTTTCCCTACAATTTCTTTCGAACTTTCCAAATAAAATGTCGATAATGCTATCGATTGCTTCCGACATGCTTCCACCACATAGAAGGGTCTCCGTGAAAACTTTGTGGATAAGTGGGTGAACGGGTTTGTCCAGACACAGTTCATGGAGCTTGTCCAAAATTCCACTAATCATGCCACGAATCACTTGGCTAACCAAGTTCTCCTCTTTGAAAATATCCATGCAGTGATTATAAAATGGTCCAGCATGATCTCCCAAGTTAAGTTGTGTTCTTTGATTGGTTCTGGCCTTGATGACATTCTGCTTTGGTTTCACAAAGCTTTTGTAATGACTCCTGATAGGTGTACTTTGAGCCCCAAACACGCAGGGCAATAGAACTATCAGGATGCAGAATACCACTAAGGTAAAGTGTCGCTATAAAAGTGAATACATTAAACTAGGACCACGAGTTGTAGCATAACATACCATCTTAATTGCTTGCCGATCCAATTGCTATTGATATTTTCTTGGTGATCTCGAAATCCTGTTCGTCTTGCATAGTTTGGATTTTCCGCTTCATGGTTTTACCTAATTCTGTTAGTGCACTTTGCATTAGACAAGTAAATAATAATAATATAGTCATGTTTTTTAAAAGTAGTTTGCCCATCCACAGGCATGCAGTATGCACGCACTAATCAGTATTCGGTGATCATGTTCTTGAGGTTAATATTGGCAATTTATTTTACCACAAATCAAGCCCTAGGTAATGAGAATCGATCGGAAGCTGTTCATTAGGTCGTAATGAAATAATTATGCATGTCGTCGTATCCGTGTTCCTGTCTGCTTACTGCCAACAAAGTATTGGTAAATAATTTGCATAAACTCAGTGTACACGGTTCTGCTGGTTTGCTTTTTTTGAGGAGCCCTCAGAAGATCTACATATGCCCATACATCTTCTCATTAACCATAATGACCTGACATGCCTCCTATTTCTGTAATAAGTCAACTTTGTTTTTCTGACTTCTTTTGGAGGCATGGTAAATTCACATCAGATCGATGCAAGGTATTTGACCCTTCTGAAATTAAACTTTTTGTTGAACCTTTTTTAAAATTTCCCGTCTCTGCACATTCTCATTGGCAAATTATCCCTGGTACATATGGAACATTTTTTGAAATACATATACAATTGAGCATATACTAAATGTACTAAATAAATGTAAATATCTTGGTATTTGTCGGGTCAAGGACTGGTTTCAAATTAATTATATTAATTAGTTAGCGACTTGCAACCAAAAATACATTTAAAAGAAAACAACCAAAAAGCGCGATTATTATTCGAAACAAGCCCACCAGCATCAATCACCTAGTTATATATTTCATTAGAAGGTTAGATATCAGGATCACTAGCCCAGTCGATTTGGCCAAGTCCGACTGTCCTACATCTGTCTGCCCATTTGACTAGTTAAGGTAGATGAACTATAAAATAACCTTTTAACGCCAAGAAAATTAATTTTTTTCGCCCACTAGTCGAGTAACGAGTATCTGATAGGCGTGGAATCCGACTACAAAGTTCTCATTTGTTTAATTTTTCCATTTGTCCCCATAATAGAAAATTTTACAGAGCGCCAGGAATATCAACGTAGCTGCTATTGGCAAAAAAATTATTTAAGTTAATTAGTTAATTATAGTTAGAAAGATAATATTATCTTTTTTGTGTTCAACTTTCAAAAACACTGAACTTTAGATAAGATCGATAACTTCCAAATAACTTTTCACTCTTGGGTGATCGTTTTGACATTTCACACAACTTTGAACCCCTAAAAGTATTCTTCACTCTTTTGTATGTAAGTCGCATGTATGTATGTAAAAAAGGCTCACAATAATTCTGCCAAAGATCTCAAGGTGGCGCCACCAAATGTAACGAACATTTGTGGATACATTAGTTTGATAATCCAAGGAGATGCACAGGAAAAGGAATACACAATTAAAAAATTACGGAGAAAGCATAAGGAAAAGATAATCATAATAAATCATAATCATAATAAAAGATAATCCCATAAAGGAAAAGATAATCTGATACAAACATTACCAATATAGGAATACAAAATGTAAAGACTATTCACTACGATTTAATCTCGAATTTATTTATAAAATAAAAACACATTTCTTTTGTTCAAAACAATCCATAGAAATAAAGTACACGTATTCACAAGCGTCGCTTGCATAAAGAAAAATACAAAAATGTAGAGCAATAGATACGGAAAGCGGATACACTTGGGAACGGATCCTGAAATTATATGACCATCTCCTCGTTCCAAAAAGGGTGTACTTAAGTATTAAAAGTAGATGAACGCCGAACCACTTAATTATCAGCAGCTATGAACGATCTTTGTACATGAACATGGATGACGGGATGCGGAAGTGTTGGGGCTAAATGTGGATACATTTGTATTTGGGAAATGATCGATGGACTGCGGTATGCCAGCGATTTGTGATCCTTACGTGCGATCAGCATGGATTGTCCATGAAATAATGTTTTTGTTTCCTTGTCTTCAATTGATTGGTGCGAATTCGATTTGGCTTAGATGTAGGCTTGGGCTCCCTATGCTTACGTATAATTTAAATGTACGGTATTTTAATTGGTAGCGTAATTAATTTATGCTTATGTGTGTTTCATGTTTGGCTGGCTGGCTGGTTGGCTGGCGGCGCTCACTTGTTGCCGGCGTTCACGAGCAGACGCTGTCTCGTCGAGGAGTTCAGGGCCGGATTGCACATATCCGTGGTGAACTTGGAGAAGGTGTTGTGGAAGCCGTTGGCCTGGCCGTTGCTGGTTGGCGCCACATCGCCGTCCTTGAGCGCCTTTATGTGTCCGTTGGCATGTCCGTTCGCCTTCACCGCCGGCTTGTCCTGAAGAAAGAGCACATTTGGTTGAATATATGTTTAAAGTTCTACACCCAACTAAATAGCACACAATTTGTCTTCTTACCTTGCCATCGCGCTTCACATAGGCACGCTTGTAGAAGTTTGAGAACAGGAAGTAGAACATAACCGCATGGGCTCCGATGAAGTAGGCGAAGCCGATCGGGTAGTTGCAGTCGTTCTTGAAGAACAGCTGGAAGGAATGCACCATAACCAGGACGAACTGGATCATCTGCATCACCGTGAGGTACTTCTTCCACCACAGGTACTTCTGCACCTTGGGTCCCATGGCGGCCAGCATGTAGTAGGCGTACATGAAGATGTGCACGAAGGTGTTCAGGAAGCCGAAGAAGGTCGAGTGGCCACCGGGGGTGAACTTGACGCCCCACCAGACGGAGACGGGCATGATGCCGTGGTGGATCACGTGCAAGGTGGACACCTGGTCGTACCGCTTACGCATCACAAAGAAGAAGGTGTCGAAGAACTCGGTGAACTTGGAGAAGTAGTACCACCAGCAGCCCTCAGCGGTCTGAAAAATTAAAGGGAAATTGCTATTAGTAACTAAGCTTTGAAACCTTTTATCAATTTAATCGGGATTGCACAAAAATCTATCAGTTGGTCGCAGAAGTACTTTGCGGTGATACTTTGCTCAGATTACCAAACTAAATATAGCTTACGATTATTTCTTAGAATGCTTAAAGAAGAAATTCCAATTTTAGTCAAAACTAATACCTGTGCTCATTCCTATCCCATATTTCAAGCCTTCATTGTTATGCTAAAAATAAACACAGCTTGGTCAGATCAACTCCGCTAGCCCTGGAACTAACGGTTGGACAAATCCGAAGCTTATCAATAAAAGAACATGGTTGATTTGCCAAAATCTTTCGCCTGCCGACTTTCTAAGACCGCCACTTTCTTTGGGTCATTTACCCACTTTAGCCAACCTGGCGGCACACGTGAGATGAGGAATCCACCGCAGAATCCACCGGCCACACAGCCGGCCGGCTTTCGGCATCCATTTCTTCGTGATTAGCATAAGAGAACCTGTCGCCATTGCCGTTTTTCTAATATCTTGCCTCTTGGCAGCCAAAAACTGGTTGCTTACATAAAATCTGGCCCAGTCAACAAAAGAACTTTGCTATTTGCCAACCATAAGCAAAAATAAGAATTTATAGCCCAGTGTTTGAGTATACATATTAGCTTAGCGCGTTATATGGGAGCTTCCACAAATACTTACACGAATCGCTTTGGGCGAGTAGGAATAATTAACGGGTTCGCATCGCAAGTTATAGCCGTTCAGCCATCCGCCTATGCAGGACTATAAATGCAAAAGAAGGTGGTAAGTGTGGAAATTAGCTAAAAAATATTTATTATATTACCTCGTAAAAGAGCCAGGCACTGAAAATAACCTGCGCTGCATTGTAGACGATCAAGACTTTGCGAAGCTCGAAAGGCTTTCTGTTTTCCATTAGCTTGGGTCCGAGTACCTGGAATAAGATGTTTATTAGTGATCCTCTGTATCTCGAATCTAAAATCTCAAGTCTTGTCTTCGTTGTCTTTGCGCGTCTGCGTGTCATTTACATAGTCAAACAGAGGCCAAAGCCTGTTGCAGCAATTATCAAATCAAATCAATCGTCGCGACCGACTTTGTCTGTTGGTTTTGTGACAAGTTCGTTGCCGAAGTCTTTTGTTTGGCCAACCGCCGACCCGCGCGTTCGCCTATCGAATTTAGCAGACATGTGAAAGTAAGTTAAATGCTTTTGTAAAATTATGAATGTGAACCAATGCAAAGCGGGAAACCTAAATAGAAATCGTTTTTCGAATTGATTTTTTAAATTTTGCATAATCTCCCGCCGCCTGTGCTTGGGTCACCTTTCGACACCAGCTCTTTGAGACGATCATCGCAGAAATCGGTTGGCCCTGAACCCCTAGCTCGGGTTTCACAGTCATTTTGCAATGCAATAAAGCGAAACTAGTTTGCGAAAAGGA